CAATCATAAGATTGATTTATTCGGCAGCCATTTATAATAGCGATAAATCAATCTTATGATTGGCCATTTGCAAGTCCAATCAGGACTCGTAACACCGGTCGCGCTTCTCTGATAATCTAGGACTCTAGCTTTAGGATGTCTGTTGGTGATTTAAGTGTCAATCGATCAATCCTAGTCAATTCAGCTTGCGATTGGTCAAAGTCAATGAAGTAATCAAGTAATCAGCCGGTTAAGCTAACCGAAGACGGTGAGAGCCCTATAATTAATTGTTGATTAATCGGAGTTTATTCCCTGCAATTAAATCTTCTTATACATCTCGACACCGATCCGCGTTGAAAGATAGAAAATTGTCGAGCGGGTCGGTCGACCATCATACGAAACGCGACGGGTTCGTGGTCGATCGAGCGATTGTATGTACGGTGGCTCCCGCACGAGTGAGGAGGAGGTAAGGGGAACTGTCGAGCAGCGTCGTCGGGACCGCCGTTTCTCGTCGAGAGACGCGTCATTTTACGTGTTACCGAGACACAATCAGCGGAAACGAGGCGTTAAAATCGGACCCACGGACGTAGCACAGTCGAGTGAGTAGCCCACGACGACGTCGTCACCGCTGCTGGCCCGCGACCAGCGGCCGCCGTCGCCGTCGCCGAGGGTGGTCCGCGCGCGAATTCGCGCTGATAACCACAAATCGGAGCGTGTTAAATCGATCAGCGAATTCGCGGGGGGGCCTCGGCGACAATCGACCGCGAGGTCGCGGGCCGCGAGTGCCGATCCGCGGGGGAGCGAGTCGACGGGGCCGACGGGAACGGGGAATCGCGACCCGCCGTCGGCCCGATCGTATTTCTCCGCCAATCGGCATTAGATCGCGTCGGCGAAATAAATATGGAGGCGGTGTATGTACATACGAGCGATGCGCGCGTGTTTGGGCATGTGCGTGTATACATGTGTGCGCGAACGTTTGACGCTTGGAGAACCGATGAGAAAACGCAAAGCATGTGCTATGACGTTCTATATTTAGCCTAGTAATGAGAAATAACGAGGTCTGTACCGATGGATCGTATATGTAGAATAAATATACAATCTAGCAATAACTAGAGAGCTACACTATAAGAGAGGGTGTGTGAAAAACATTGCTGTGAATGTTTCCAAATATGTAGTTTATTATGCATTGTGCAATCTAATAGATAAGTGCAAAAAATTAAATTGCATGAATAGTCTTCTCAGTCCTTGGTTTAGTTGTGTTATTTATATCAAATTATTTACATTATATAATAATGTTCCTTTTATATTGCTGATCCTAGGTATGAGACGCAAGAGTGAAAGGAACAAAGCGAAAGGATCTCCAGAGAAGAAAGTTGAGAAACCAGTAAGGAAGTCAACGCGTAGGCGTGGCAGGAGATCGCCTTCTACTTCGTCCGAACAGGACGCTTTTGTCGAGGATGCGGCTAAAAGTGCCGTTCCGCCCAAGGAGCCCGAGAAGGAGACAAGCGTGCAAACGCGTCTGCAGAGCAAGGAGTTGGAGCAGACGCTACACGGGCGCGAGGAGAAGGTCTCCTCTAGTGATATAAACATAAAGGTGGACTCACCCGAGGACGAGGACAACGGTGGCTCGGTGTGGAAAGTGGCGAGAGCGGATGCGTCGCCCGGCGAGATACAGAAGCTGAAATTATGTCGGCAGCGCAACACGTCAGAACCGTCATCAGACACACCACCGTCGAGCAGGAAGGGTGTCAAGTCAAGTAGCAAGTGGCAAGAAAGTGGTGAGGGCGTTGCAGAGGAGGCTGACTCGGCGGACGAGCAACTGGTTTCTTGTACAAGAATGCTCAGTGGCGCTGAACAGCCGAACGATCCCTCCTCTTCATACCCAGGTCAGGACTCCAACGAAGAGGTAAGTGATAGCAAGGAGATCCTGCCTGAAACCACTTCGGCCAACTTGTTGTCTGACGATAAACCAAACATAGATCAGCATGGTGAAGCAAATGAGGCAAATTGCGCTGCCCAAATAGTTGATATCGAACCTGGTAAGCCGGGTAGCCCGACAACCACGCCGGTACCTAGCGCGAACGGTGAGGAGACCGTTACCGCTGCCATCGTTGAAGAAAATAAACCTGCGGAAGACAAGCCTGCGGAAGACAAGGACAAGCCTGCGGAAGACAAGCCTGCGGAAGACAAGCCTGCCGAAGACACATCTGCGGAAAACATACCTGAGGAAGACGTCGGTGAAAAGTCAACGGAGATAATTGTCAAAGAGACATTTGTCGAAGAGACATCTGTCAAAGATACACTTGGCGAAGAGACACTTGTCAAAGAGACACTTGTCAAAGAGACACTTGTCAAAGAGACACTTGTCACAGAGACATTTGTCAAAGAGACTAGCGTTGAAAATATTCGTAGAGATACGAGTAGCGAGGACGAGGAGGAGGAGGAGGACGATAAAGCGAAAGCGCCTCGTCCAGCGGACTCGTCATCCGATTCGAATGACGAATCGCGGTCTAAGAGAAGCAGAACGAGTAGCGACCGAACGTCGTCACGCGCGACTCGCAGAAAGCATCGAAACAAATACAGAGACTCGTCTAATTCCGATACACCCGATTCCGAAGACGAACCTATTGACAGAAAAGTCTCTGAGCCTTACGCGGAGGAGGAAGAGGAGGAGGAGGAAGAGGAAAAACAGAGTACAGAGTATTTGCAAGAGAATGATAAACAACAATCGGTGTCGCCGGAAAGAACTAACTCTCATTCGAATAATGTAGAAAAGATAGAGGTCGAGCATAGTGAAACTGTCGAAGATAAATCGGAAGAGAATACAACTGAAAAATTGGAACAGTCTGCACCGATTAGCACTCAGGTGGTCGCTCATAAACCTGTTAAAGTCAACTTGAAGAGATCATTGTAAGCATAAATATCCTTGTGCAATTAAGTATCAATGAGAGAATTTTATTTTAAAATTTACCTTGAAAATCACGTTAATCGTAGGATAACATAGCATTTCGACAAATTTTATGTGATTTTCACTATTTTTTAAAACATATATTACAACAAATTTATTGTAGTGCACAGTAAAAAAAAACACAGAAAATCACATAAAATTTGCCAAAATACTATGTTGTTTCATGATTAACATGATTTTCAGGGTTTTAAAAGGAAATTCTCTCCGTGTAAAAGCCGTGAAGTATAAGATACATATGATAATAGATATTATTGAAGGTTTTTAATGTTATATTTGCAAAATGATTAGATTTTCGAGTTATCTTCAATTTCATAGCTGAAATTAATCAAAAGTGTCTATCATAAGATTGAGCTATAATTTAATTACGCTATTTCTGTCTATTTTTTAGCTCAACAAGAATATTATCCGAAAAGAACGAAGTGAAAAGGGATGATGCCGATGCAAATATCGACGATTCCAGTAGTCAAAATAAGGTATAATAGTACATAATATTCTGCCAGAGTTACAGAAGGATATTTATATTCTTTTATTGATTTCGAATAATATGCATTTCAGGAAAATGGCAGCGAACAAGAACCAAAATGTGTGCCGAGGAAACGTCGATGGGGGACCGCGCTTTCTACGGACACCGCGCCCTCGTTTTCTGTTTCGACCGATTCGCTCAAGGTTTGTACTCCATTTGCATATTGCATTAGTATATTACTTTTCTATTCTTGAACGTCAAAATTCACTAATAATAATGCGACAGGCGTTGGTGCCGGGTGCGAAGCCATTATCCATCAACGAAGTTCGTCTCTCGAAGGACGACGACGAGGACAGAGATCGTCATAGGAGTAACGATAAACGGCACAATTCTAGCGACATTACAAATGATAAGGCGACGGATGAGAACTTGCAGAAAAATGGCGCTGCCAAAAAGGGCAATGGAAAAGTAGATAATCACATCGGTATGTGTACTTACAATTTGTTAGATAAAAATGAGTGAAATTTTAAACGTAATTGTTGAATCTTGTAATATTCGTATTTATATAATATTCTTATTATTTCTACATATTTACAATCTGCTAGATAAAAATGAGTGAAATTTGGACGTAATTGTTAAATCCTGTAATATTCGTATTTATATAATATTTCTATTATTTCTACGTAGCGACAAGGCGGAAGATATCAATCGTGAAGGAGATGCCGCACCTAAAATCGCCAAGTCCGCCAGCATCTAAACCTACCAATATCCTGTTGATCAAGAATCTAGTTCGCCCTTTCACACTAAATCAGATCAAGGAGCTCCTCTCGCGTACAGGCACCATCGTGGAGAACGGGTTCTGGATGGATCGAATTAAATCTAAATGCATCGTCGAGGTACGTTAATTTTATACACATAAAGAACGTCTCGTTATCATGGTGAATGCCGAGCCAAAATTTTTCACGATTATATTAATATATTACAGTATTCCAATGAGGATCAGGCCTTTGAGACAAGGCAGGCGCTTCACGGAATCTCTTGGCCTATGTCCAATCCAAAGAAGCTTCATGTGGAATATGCTACGAAGGAGGATATGGAGACCGCTCGGGAATCGTCCAAGGAACAACCGGTTGCGCGCAAAACCGAACCCCTTTCGTCGGATTCGTGGCAGCAGGATTGGAATCGCGACGAGAAGACTAATACGACTAAGGTAAAGATATGGAAGTTTTTTATTTAGATATTGGAGTGTTTTTTTTCGATCAATTTAAGATGTACATCTACGTATTAGGTGACCGTGGTGAGAGAGTGGGATCTAGGCAAGGAGGACGGCCAGCAACACATCAGGGAGAAGGAGCGTGAAAAGAAGGAACATGATAAAAAGCGACGAGTGAGGAGTCGTAGTCCAACGTTGGACGCGCATCTATCGGCACCGGCTCGCAAATTCAAGAAGAAGGAGGACGATCCGCCGCCGGCCAAGCTTCTAGATGATCTCTTTAGAAAAACGAAGGCGACACCTTGCATATACTGGTTACCGCTTACGAATGAACAAGTAAGTGAATTTAGAGAAAAAACTATATATTAGCATCTCGTCATTCTGAAATATTTATATTAGGAAGAGATTGTTAAAAGTAAAATACGCCAAGACACAAGAATTTACTTTTATCTTAATTATTCATTTTATCGATTTATCATGACTCAAATAATGCACGACTGTATGACTCAAACAAACAAGTGGAATGGCAATAAATGTTTTTTTTTTTAATGCGGAAACATTGCAGATAGTCGTGAAGGAAGAAATGCGACGGCAACATATGGCGGAACACGCGCGCAGATTGGAAGAGATGAGACGCGCCGACAGAAATAGAGACGGGCGACGTCGACGCAGCCCAAGAAAATAGAAATCAGCGTGTGATATCGTCGGCAACATAACATGTACCTTTCCTCCTCTGGTCCCTTCATCCTAAATTTAATTTTGCTCATGCCATTCAATTTTTTTAAATTCTGCATTATGTTTCTTGTTATTGATATATAATGTTTAGTGTTAAAAATATGTGGATTTTCTCCTTTCTTTGGAATCATTCAAAAACTTTTAAAAATTTACGATTCAACATCTGTTCACATTCTGATTTACTTTCTTTTTGCATTTTCTTTTGTGTTGTCATCTCTTCATTTCCCTTTGTCTCTTTATGTCTCTATCTCTCTATCTTCCCAGTCAGTTTAATTTCAGATACTATTCTATTGCACGACTATCAAATGTCCTCTCACAATTCCTTATTCCCTTTCCTCGTGTATCAGAATTTAACCATACTTCTTACAGGTCAACATTTATCTATCCCACAGAGAGCCGATAACTGTAGATCAGATGCGATAGTGGTTCTGTATTTCCGTCAACCGTTGATGGCAGATAGTCCCAATTCACTCTTTATGTCAAGTTGAAACGCAGCATCCACACGGAATAATGTTGCAACGTGGGAACTTCTTTGAAGAAAATAGACGAGACATATTATTGAATGTGGAATAGACTTGGCATTCCTGAAAAATATCGTTCATTTCTTCGCTCTTTTTCTTGTTTCCTTTGTTTTTTAAATGACTCGAACTCTGACACAAGTACGTTCGAATGGAGAAATGAAGCCGTATGACGATCTGAATGGAAAACACCGTCGTCCGAGACGCAGAAGAGCATTGCTACGAAGACATTATGTTGGACGCTACTGATGAATGAAAGACGAACTTTGTCTCTGCGTTAAATATTCTTCGTCATCTGTTTTGGTTGCCTCGAGCTCAACAATTGCCAGCCATTCGACAACTTTGATAGCGGCTACACGTTTGGAGGTGTCGCGTCAGTGTGTCTAACCATAATATAGAACTAGCAGGGCAAAGACATGTCTGTACATATAACCAATACTTCATGGTGACATGTAAAATTATTAATAAATCCTAAAAATGATAAGAACACGCTTTGTGTTAGCGTATACAGAGGTACATTTACCGCTCTTTTCTTTTTACAATATACCTATTGGAGAATTTGTTATTCACCTATGACGAAAAACTGAGATGGATAAAATACATTTATGCTTAAAATAAATAATCGCCTATGTTATTGTCATTATCTAATTTGCTGTTCACAATCAGTATAACCGCACTTAATAAATTCTTAGTGAAATACCGCGCGCGAAACAGAACGTTGATCGTTTAAATTTAATGCAAATACGCATATAAACTTATTCGATTTTATTTGTATCAATAACATTACCAACGCTAACATTGTAGGTACTTTAGTTTACAAAATCGGAGTACAGAATATGTGCATATTGACTGTCACGATTACGAGTACGCTGTTATTTATTTGGTAGACAGTGAAAAAGAAGAGAGACATAAAATTTAATAATAAAGTTAGTTCTCAATTTGTACATTTTATTACATATGTATTTATATAATTTTATTTCGGAAAACACGATGACATGTGCACTTCGCAATCAGAATCCAAATTGTACACTTCTCTATGTCGTTATGCATGCGCGCGCACGTTTTAATACTTTGTCTTATTAAAAATTCCTTTCGCAATAATCCCTTCGCAATAAACGAATGAATAAACAGTGGGTGCGTTCAGCAGACAGCAGATTAGTGAATCTTTAATATGATTGGTTCTCGCCTTTAGTTTTTCACTGGAGCTAAGTGTAGAAACCAATTATAATTTAAAAAATCATTAAACGCTCACTGATCTGCTTTGCTGAACACGCCCAATGATCAGCGATCGATTGATAATCTAATCAGAATGAATTTTATGACACATCGAAGATTTAATCTGAAACGCTAATCTGAGACGTATCGTGGCTGCATACCGCATAACGCTTTTGCGTAGGTCAAGCATTTTGAGAAAGCAAAGGGAAGATAAAACAAGATATTTACGCAGATTTTAGACAGACATCTAAAACATAAATCATTTAATATACATGATATATGTTAAGACGCTTATTCGAGAGAAAATATCTCTCGAAGAATGTCACAGTCGATAACCGTATCGACGTCCACCTTTCGAAAACTGTAAACCTTTCGCGTTAATAAAAAATAAACTATTATTTATGACGACATTTGCAACGATATATCTCAACAATAACGACGCAAAGAGTGCGCTATTATTTGCTTATTATTATCGTTACGGATTTTTCTCCCTTTTTTTTAACGCGAGTTTACACAATATCGACTATCGCTCGTTCTTGTTGCGATTAGTTTCACTCATACCACATTCATCATACAAGCATTGTTCTCGTCATCAGTTTTATTTAATCAACCTTCACAACACTATAAATCTTGCGCACGAACCAAAAACAGGCGAAGAAGCCGATGGAACCTGAAAGAAAATGATAGTAAGATTTCTTAAATACCGAAATATTTTAAAAAAAGTTTCGAGCGAAATACATATAACGAATAATACTCACCTGTTAAAAGGAAGAATAAGTAAACCATAATAAACGTATATCCGAAGTACAGGAACGTAGAAGTGGCACCTTCAATTTCTAACTTAGTGACGAAGAAATGTATACAATAAATTAACAAGTAGACAGCAGTAAAGCCGGATGTGAGGAAGCTGCGCCACCACCAGTGATAATCCTATAAAGAAATTTATGAAGAAATAATATCACGACGTTTAACAACATACACACACAAAAAAAACGTAAGTATGATTTCTTAGAAAAGCATGTATTTACCTCAGCACAAAGATGGAAATAACAGAGCAGAATTGTCGTTTCAGAACACGTGATGACGAGTATGAGAAAAACCAAGAAGAGAAATCCAAACATGTAGTACACTTGGCTCGACCTAAGTAAAAATGACACTCGTGAGAGCACTTATTAATAAGAATATTAATGTGCAACACTTACCAGAGGGAATTAAGTATGAAGAACAATTGTATAAATATGCAACCGAATGGCAGGACACCACCCATGATGACTCCGGGCACTGGTTGCGTGTAGAAATTCTGCTCTGGTATCTGCCGAGGAATCTGATTCGTTCGTACCGGATGCTCCAAAGCCTGCGGCATTATTCCAATTATAGATATATCGTAATGAAATAATATTGATTTATAATTACCCTTTTCTTGAAGCCAAAGTAAGCGCCGATAAACGTTAACGGTACGGACACTCCGAACCACAATGCCAGAAGAGCGATTAGAGTGCTGAAAGGTACTGCGGCCGAGCTTCCGTTCGCCCAAAATATCAGATTCATTATAAAGAATAAACTGAATACGATTCTGAAAAAGTAAAATACAATTTTTATACGGCAAATTTACATCGCGAATATAAAATGACATTTGTAGAAATTAATTCACTTTTAATACAGCAGAATCGATAGATCAGATTCGGGCTCAAAAAATAATAAGTCTTACCCGGGACTAAACATGGACGTGAGTAACACGTTGGACTTCCATTTCTCTCCACCGAAACTCTTGTATATTCGTGCGCCCGCATATCCCGCAGTGGTTCCCAGACAAACATACAATACCATCGCGCAAGTCATTAGTGCACCTCTATTAGCAGGCGAAAGGAAACCCAGACAAGCGAATGCTGTAACATTGAATATATATATATATATATATATATATATATATATATATATATACAATGACATTTATAATTTGAAATAAAAAACAATGAATTTATTAACGTTTATATTCAATTAATCTTAAATAAAGCATTCTTAAATTAAATTTAATAAATTTGATGAGAGAGAAAGAAAGGAAGAAAAAAGGGAGGGAGAAAAAAAGAAAGGTTTACCTAATGTAACCAATGTCATGAAAAACACTTGAACACCGGATCCTAGCAGAACCGAAAGCAGCATCCCTTTACGCGGAGGGCGGAACACATCACCGTGTACCAATTTCCATCCAAATTCCTCTTGTGCATCTTCTCCTGATTCTATCTGGAAGTAGGCCTGCGTTATCGCAACACAGACAAATGGATATCACAATCTTGTAAAAGTGAAGAAAACATTAGTTACCTTCACCTTTTCATGAAATATGTTATATTGTTTTAAAAAAAGCTTGACTTTCCACGAACAAATAAATTTGTTTTACATTATTCAAAGCATCTTTTTAATATAAGGTTAGTATTTTAAGTTAGTTTTTTTTTAATCTCTAAGACACATCAATTAATAATAACTCCTCAATATTTCTTCTTAGAATTTCATTAAATTTTATCTAGAAGTTTTTAGTAATTTTATAAATAGTTTTAAAAAGGCCTTTTCAGCTTCGCCATAATCGAATGAAAAAGATATAAATTGCAATTTTTTGGAGTTACTTTTAATATCATGTGACGCAGTTGTTGAATATCGTAAAATTATCAGAAATGTTGATAAGAATCGACTTAGTTATACGTTTGTCTGGTAAGAAAATAAAAAGATGTGCACAGTACTGAATTACATGCAGCTGTTAAATTACGTAACGCAACAAATAAAGTATATAGATACCTGGTTATATCGCGCGATGTCTTTGTGCAGAGTGCGAAGCATTATCATAGCTACCATGCCAGAGAGGAATAGAACGATTATCAGTGAATTAAGAATACTGAACCATTGAATGTTCGAATGTGGCATTGATTCCAAGATGTAATCCCACCTGGACGACCATTTGATTGTGTTATTTCTCTGGAATAATAAACATAATAATAAATTTTTACATATAATAAGAAATAATAAAATATTCGTTGAGATATTCTGTATTTGTGTCTTTCATACAAAAAAAAACTAATAAAACGAAATGAATGCGTCCACTACGCGCATGCCTGTGATGCTCTAGTAATAATAAACAATGATTAAATTCTACCATGTTAAAATATTTTTCATATTATTGTATACTCCTGAAAACTTACCACAAATTTAATAGAATACGTATATGTCACTTGGAACGTCTGTCCAGATAAGAGCTCATTGGATGGTATTTCTAATGGTATTTGACTTTCACAATCAACAGGATTATGCTTAATACTGTGAGGCACTACTTTCACAGCTATTAAAACCACATTTGTACAATTATTACAATTTAATATTAATTGTAGTTTATTAATTTGTAAAATTAAAAACTAGCAAAAACCAATTTTGATCAACAAATACTCACATATGATACGACCACCGTTTTCCTTAAAGGACGATCCCCATTCCTCCGAACCACCACTATGATAAGTTATCGTAAGATTCACGTGATTAAACAAATAAAATGTTTTCAGTTTATTGTACGGACCCTAGCAACACACGCGAAAAAAGATAACCATTTGATAAATTAAATTTTATATTTTTACAATTTTGAAACATAATTCGATAATTCATTCTCACATGTATAGTACAAGTATCTTGCTGAGATCTGGATTCTTTTGAATAACAGCCCATGGGAAAGCCAGTGCTACAATATTGTCGCTCATCCTCTAACTGATAACACCACGTTACCGGCATATTATCTAACAAAAATGAAATACATAAACAGAGTTATTAGCAAGTCATTACAAAGTTATTCTAAGAATAATAAAACAATTGTGTAATTGCAAAACTAATTTTTTAAGCATTAAATTATTCATGCAATATCTTTCTTCATAAAGCCAATTATAATAGAAATAGCAGAATAAATATTAAGATTACATTCGGGAAATATGCTATTAGCGCTATTGTGTCATTCTATCCTTATTTTACATCTAAATTTACATCTAATGAGCAATGGAGATAAAACAGCTGATAGCTTCCCAAGGCGATCAAATGATAAGTATTATTGTTATTAGGGCACAAATATATTTTTTGTATTTCAAAACGTGAGAGTTTGTTATAACTTGAAAATTTATCTCTAAGGTATATTAAACTCTCGTGCCCTTATAAACTATCTATATGTCAAAATAAATATTTACACTGACAATGTATTTGATACTTATATTCGTTTATTACAAAAAACGTCACTTAGATCTTTCAAATTTTTAAATTACCATTCATCTCTTCCTTCAAGTTTTGGATTATATAAATTAGGAGTTACAATATTGAGATAGATGTACTACTAATGATATAATGCTAGAAATTATAGTGATAGAAAATATTTAAAAAAAAAATACTTTTCAATGATATTTTTCAAGCAATTGGTTGATACATTTGATACTCACCAACTATCCAATGATGTTGATAATTGACTGCTATTCCTTTCCTCAATAACTGTAATTTCTTCTCTGAATTTTCGTCACCTGCTGTGTACTGTTTCACGCAAAGAGTGGCACACTTGACATCTTTCATGAATTCCAACTAAAAGTGAAGTAAAATGTTAATTTTAACTTTTAAGAATTCAAGTTCCATAAAAAAAAAAATGTTAAACTTAGATCTTTGTATCTACCTTATATGGAGATGGACGTATGCGTTCTCCAAAAACGACCTGTCCCAAATTCTCAACTGGGGACTGTCCATCCTCCACCGTGCAAAAGTCAAAACTAGATTGTAGAAATAGAATAATTAAAAAATTATCACCAAAATTATATAAGTATTGTAATATATTACAATAAAGTAATAATATATACAATACTTTGAAGAATATAAGATGTTGAATGTTTTGATATATTACTTACTGACTATATTCGTAAGGTATGACATATTTCTCCGTATTTAAACGATTCACATATAGTTTGACATCCGACTGAAACAGAGTTTCATTACTAGCAACAATACTAAAAACATATCAAATCATACGTATAATTCTGTTTGATAGTATACATAGCGACATGTACATATAGACTTTTATTATACCAGAAGAAATAACTAATTATAGATGTATATGTAATTAGTTATTTTTTCTTACACATATATATGTATATGTATATGTATATATATATATATATATATGTTTCTTTTTCTGGCATAACATATATATATATATATATAAACTACGTAATGCATATAAAATTTACATAAAATCCACGTAATATTGTACAACATCAGTGCATCAAAAAAAGAATACACCGTCAAAGTGACAAACTCAGAAAATGACGTTCGTATTACGTGTGTAAATATACGCAGCGACGAATTTATACGCGGAGTCCAGGCCTTCGAAGTAAAATAAAGATGCATAATTTAGCCCCCGAGAAAGGCATAAAAGGACGTGAGACGTACGAAACGTGTCCAAGCGCGTAGAATTTACGACGTATTTATCGACGTCCCGTCGGTCATAACCAACCAACCAACCGACCGACCGACCGACGGATCGCCTTCGTTATTCCTCACGCTTATACGTACCTTGCACGTTGACGTTGTCTCCCCGACCTTGCAATAATTTACGGGCGCCAGGCCGGGCAGGTAGAAGGCCGCGACACCGTGGAACGCGTACAACGCGTAGAAGATCGCCGTCGTCGTTATCATCGCCGTGGCGGTCGCAGTCACCGGGTCTCCCTAGAAGCGTCGTCTGTCGTACCGCTCGCGTCACCTCCGTGAAACGTACTTGTCCTACATGAAAGCACCCGATCGCATGATACACCGCGCACGTCTCCGCAGATCACTCTCGCTCTCTCGCTGCGTGGGATTGCGCGAAACGTCGTCGCGAGACAGGAACGCGTATCACATCTCGAGCGGCTCGAGCGCTGCCATGACACGTCATGAAGTGCGCGACTGTGCGCGACGACGAGTCCCTCGGTGACTAATGGTCACCCGTCCCTCACCCCGCATTCGCCCCTTTCATTCCACCCCCCCTCGTAAACGTGCATTTCGTTTTTAAACTTCGCGCCGATTCGCGTGAAAGGACACGTTATGTTGGTTCACAGACGAGAAACCGACAGCCTTACGGGAATTAGCGCGGCAGTTTAGTAATTGGCTTAAAATTTAAGCAATTAGTCAATAATATAACATTAATTTTATGATTTACTAATAGATCAATGTTTTTTTAGACGTGTACATTGTAATTCATATGTATTATATCTTGCTAATAGTTATAATTTTATTTAAAACTGCATTTTTATAGTTACCATCCGCGTTTGATTATCCAAAGAGATGATAAAACAGTTGGAAAAAAAATGTAATTTTGCGGCAATATGTATGATATTATAGCATTATAAGTATTCATACTTATTTATAAAGCATTTATATAA